TTGTAAATCTAGTGGCAAAAGCCATGAAAGAAAAACATGTTGATAAATATCTACTAAAGAGACAGACCCTGGTCTCAGAGATACAGTCATCTTGATTTTGGCATCCAATATATCAACCATTATGTTTATCTTTACACTTATTAGTTTATGGATTCATCTGGGTGAGATTAACTAATGGAAACATATTTTCATTCATTTAAATTAATATAAACCATTTTGAATTGAACTGGAATCTTATTAAAATGTTATTTTATTATGGCTGCAACTAACGATTATTTGGATAATCGATTGGTTGGTCGATTATTTTTTCGATTAATCAGATTTTTTTTTTTTTTTTAATTCTTTATTTTTATTTTATTGACAAAAACACACTATTCCACATTCTGCTTAATGTCCTCCAAACAAATGTGCCAACTGAATGCTATGAAAACATACAGTGTTTAACAATTTATTAGACCCCCTGTCACTGCATGTTGACTTTTAAACCTAAATTTAATGTTCAACAACAGATGTTTCTGCACAATGAATGTTTGCAAAACATTATGCAAAAATGGAAAGGCATGCATAAATTTGTGACATTTACAGATAAGGATATGACCGTTAACTGAGCGTTTTTTGCGCTGAGGACGCACACACGTATCTATCAAAGCACCTGAGATAGGGCAAGTAATTAAGCTAATGCATCAGCTTGAAACTTAAAACAAAGATTTCTCATGTTTTGGGCAGCTTGGATCACGTACTTTTTCTTCAGGAGCTCATTCTGTTTCCTCCACTATTTTTAGATGCATTTTGTCCATAGAAATGCGTTATTCAGTGCTGTAATTTGATGCGACCGGCTGAAGTTGGACGTGCACTGTGGGCAGACGTGACTAATCGATAATGAGAATTGTTGTCGATGATTTTCATAATCGATAAAAATTGATTTTATCAATTAGTTGTTGCAGCCCCACATTTGATTTCATTACTCTTCCCTAACCAAGCTATTTAGTCATTAGGTTGCTCAGTGGCAAATGCAATCTTCCCACTATCACCATTTATGAGCACTGTTGTAGGTGAAAATGTAACCATATCCTGTAGTTACAAAGGATTCACTGGAAGAGTGCTGAATGCACAGTCATACAAACAGTATGCTGGATCAAAACCTGAGTTCTTTATCACAATCTATCAACATGGAGCTTTGGCAGTGGCAAAAGCATCTGTTATCTCACACCTTTCAGGCAAAGCTGATCAAAACATCCAACAAGTGGATCTAAAGATCTCAGATGCTCATTGAATGAATGAATGATGCATTTATATAGCGCTTTACTGTGTATTGCTGTACACTCAAAGCGCTTTACAATCATGTGGGGGGGGGGGGGGGGGG